TGTCGTGATGACATGATAGAAGCAGATTCTATAAGCTGCCGAGTTACTAAAAATTAAAGGAAAACTATTATGTAGTGGCCTGAGAAACATTTTATATTTCATACAGTAGAAAAATTGATTTTGAAATAAAAACAATATTAAGAAAACCCGAGCCTCCAGTTATTCACAAATAAGAGCACCGAGCCCATTTTATTTTATAAAATAGAGTTTTCTTAACTGGCATTAAATCTAAAAATTGCTTTGAGAGAAATCTTCATCTTAAGTTGAGTTTTGTGTTACGTGAAAACTATACTAGTGAAAATTATTACGTGACCCTTTGTGGTCGGGATGGAGATTCTAGAGCTGTTTTATGGGAGAGTATTGTTTGCTTTAACTACCCTAACTGCACGTTACGTCATTGTATGAAGCGATTGGAACCCAGGCCTTTAATTGCATTGGAACCCAGGCTCTTGCTTTGTGTATCTCATCGTTCACTTTCGTTCGTACTTAGCATCTTATTCAAAATTACTATATCTTCTTCAGCCGTCATTAAAATTCTCTCGTCTCCTAATGTCCTCGCTATACGCAATGTCTCTTTGTAATATTTTTTCGCCTGTTGGTAATTCTTTAAAGCGCAATAAATAGCCCCTATTGCTTTATTAGTCTCGAGCTCCTCCGCCGTATCTCCCGATTCTACTGCGAACTTCAGTTGCTTGCGTTTGTAGTGCAAAGACTTTTTGTACTTTCCATTGTTGTAATACAGATCACCTAGTCTACGGCATGCGAAGCTTTCTTCTACTTTGCTGTTCTTTGCTCCAGCCAATTCAAACGCTTTTTGGAAATTCTCTGCCGCCTCGTTAAGACAATCTGTAGCGAAATATGCCTCCGCAAGGTCGTTATGCGTCGCTTCCAAATCAGTGACGTCATCAATTTCAAGAGCGATGCGGATCTTTTCAGAGTAATACTTAATAGCCTCTACGTGGTTTTCTTGAATATCGTAAACCGTAGCAGTATTATGATTGGCTGTTTTGAGTCCTTTCAAGTCATGTGATTTATCGGCTTCGCATCGCATGCGGAGAAACGTTTCAAGGGCCTTATCGTAATTCTGCATATCAAAGTAGGCCGCGCCGAGTTCAGATAACGCCTGTGTTGTTGCCCAGCAACCAAGATTTGATTTCTCTGCGATTCGCAATGACTCTTGAAAATGTTTAACAGCCTTAAGAAGGTTTTTATTATTCTTCTCCTTCTGCCCATTTGCAATCTCTTTTCGAAACCGTGTTTCCAAATCGAGGTTATCGTTCTCCTTCATCGTTTGGACTGCACTGTGTCCACTGGGATCGTTGGCCATTGCAGCGCAACTGGCTGACGTCGGGAGGTATGTTTCAGGCGATACCCTGCGTGAAAACAAGCCTCGTTTTAGCGCACAGCAGCCTCTAATGACCATTTTAGCTTCCACCTGTTTAAGAAAGAAAAAGTTTAGAAAATTGTCAAGTCATTGCAATTGGAAAGAAATTCGTTTCGATTTAAAAATGGATACAGTTGATTGAACAATGACTTAGGCCTTTTTAGTATTTGTCGATTGCCTTTAAATACCAAAAGATTAAGAGCTACATTATAGAAGCACAACACGTGACATGAGATAACTCAAAGTAGAACACCTATTAAGTTATATAGTGCTCTTCTCGCTGATGATCTACAATGCCTGCCAAAAGTCAAGGAACACTGACGTCATTTTCCAAGATCAAAATCAATCACCCCCCTCTCCCCCACGGAACAATGTTGGTTTATTATTAAACGGGTTAGGATATTAGGAAGCACTTTCTTTTGCGCTTCTTTTATGATATTTCTCTAAATCATCAGCATTTTTCTAAGGGGAAAGGGGCAGAAGTAGTAATTTTCTTCGGAAAAGGAATGAAAGATCTTAAATGCATTGCAAATTGCTGGGTGTTCCAAGTACTTTTGGCAGGCATTGTATGTTGATTAAACAGGAAATAGACGCTTAATCGTCGAAAAGAATCACTTTCATCACACCCTAAATCTAGGAATTTTGAAGTTTTTGAGAAACTTTTAGGGCTCCATTTCTCGAAAAATAAAGAAACTTCCCTTGCAAAATTTTAATACATCTCTTATAAAAACCAAGATAAAACAGAAGCTCAAAACTTTGACAAAGAAGGGCCTACAAAATTATACCAGGATAGTCTTTCAGGTTATGTGACCAAAATTAAAAGAATCATAACTATTGTGACGTCATGACTTAAGAAATCTGTTGGATAAACAAATTACGAAGAAAAATTTGAATTTCAAAAAAATCCTTAACTATGGAAATTTATGTCTTTTCATTTATGTTATTAGCTGATGACAAAAACAAATCTAATTGGCATTTTTATTATTATTATTATCATTATTATCTAATCGTTGATTTAAAGTTAGCAGTTAAAATTCCATCAGGGACCACGCCACCGGGAGGCCAGAGGGACCATGGCACCCCACTTTCTTGTGAAGCGGGTAGTTTTAAAGCTGCAGTGAAATGGAAAAAGCCTTGGCCCCTACTTTTGCCAGCCTTGGCCCCCCCCCCCACATTCAAATTCGTTGCGTAGGCTCTATGCAGAGCTTAAAAGCTAATTAATGCCAACTATTTAAACAAATTGCATTCAAATTTCTATAAAATGAATACAATTTGAAAAATGCAACTTATGATTAAAAGCCTAAGTTTGGATAAAATAAAAAAATGTCCTTGGCATGGCAAAACAATGGCCTAGCGTCAAAACAATAGAAATGGTACGAACGTGTAACAACACAGTCATAGTCAGCTTTTAGTCAGAAGCCTAAAATATCAAATTTAAAGAGATGGAAACAATATCAAACTCTGAAAAACCCTTACCAACAGATTTGAAATGCTTCGTTACCCTAAAGGGAATTGAGGCATACTTAAGTGGCTCCAAACCAGCAAGCTCGAACTGTCAATCAAACATTAACCAATCACAAGTGTCCATCTACCATTTCACGTGGTCACTTTTACTGTAGATTATATCACTTCACAAATATCCAATAAAAGTGAAGGAGATTTCAGAAAGAAATCACCTTTTATTTCAGCCTGATAACCAGCCCATTATTCTAAAGAAATTCCTTTAGAATAATGGGTTGGTTTTCAGGCTACTTTGATTTCCCTTTTGCTCAAATCGACCTCTATGAACTCGTGCAAACCGAGGGGCAAATCACTCTAAGAAAATTTCGTAGCGTGAATCGAAGAGTGAATCGCCGCCCCTCGGTGCAAACAAGTCATCAAACTTCACGTACACAGCTACAATGTGACTACACTGCGCATGCTCTGTACTGTCTACATTTAAAAAGTGCTCGATATATCCTTCTATTCTCTTCAACAAAATGTTTTTATTTGCATAAATTTTAATATAATTTCGTTCTCTGTTTTCATAAGAACAATTTTATTAGAACACGAGCCTCAAAATTGATAGACAGTTAAGAGCAAATTGAGAACAAGCTGAGGCTGAGCTATCGTAAAATTTAATTTTGAGCAACTTTAATATAAAACCGAGGAGTTTTTTGCAATCTAGAGGTGCTTTTCAAAGAATTTTTCGACTTCGTCAGCAAATAAAGGCCTGAAGCATCGCTCATATTGTTGGAAAATTAGGCCTGAACACCTCCCTAGAGCTAAAAAGTAAGTAAATGCACTGGTTATACCCTATTAATTTAAGAAAAAGTTAAGAACAATTACACACTTAAAATTCAACAACAAGTTAAGAACCACACAGCCTCAGATTTTCGAAAAAATCAAGAACGGCCAGCTTGAACACCATTTATGGGTTCTTATAAGCAAGACTGGTGTACAAGTTTAAAAAAATTATTTTTTGTTCTTCATTTTCTTCCAATTCTTGTTTTTGTCCTGTTTTACTTTATGGCTATCAAATACACACGTTCTCATAAAATTATGTTAACAAACAAATTCCTGTCATTGTACTTATACTTTTAAAATGTTCTTCATATTTTAAATACATTGTAATTAAATTATGTTTAAAGAAATATGGCGAATGTGAGTTTGAACATAAGCCACTGAGGGAAGATCATTAAAAGCGAATCTCGTACACTTTTAATTAAAAGCCTTGTTTTATCTTAAAATCCCTGAAAATCTTTTCGTTTTCTTGGAAAAATCGAGCGCCTTTTGCAAAAGCTTTGAATTGCCCTGCGTAGGTAGGCCATCAACAGAGTCTGTAACCAAAGCAAAAATTCCTCGCTTTGTTATTTGACCTTCGATTATAATTTAAAACTCTATTGAAGTAGCAAGCAACGAATATTTTGTAGTCAAAATAACAGGCCTACATTTATGTAAAACGATGATGAAACTCCCAGTGGCAAAAATCGCAATATATCGTGAATGTAGACAAAGGAAATTTGAGAATTGAAGACTAATTTTTCATAAAAATGTAAAGCACAGAATGTACCTGCAAGCATATAGGATAACTTTCAAGTCTATTCCTGGAGGCTTTTCCTGGCAATATTTCCGTAGAAATCTCGAAAGTTTCAAGTTTGAAGCAAGTGAAGACGCGGATTGCTCGGATCAGGAAACCACAGGCGATTCCAGACACGGAAGTTAGAATATTTTATGACTCATTCCAGCGGGTGTCGAAAACAACATTGCAGACTGCACGTGGGCAAGTTGGCGCGTAAACATTAGCAGGTTTTATAAAAAAAGTAAACAAATTGCTCACGAAGTTTTGAACCAACGTAAAAACCAATAAAAATTGCTTATTAGTTCAGCCTGGAAAACTGATTGTAAAGCAATTGTGGCACATAACAGGGACTCAGGGACCGCTGAAGGGTTTTGCTTTTGCCCCCCAAAAGTTGTACTTAAAACAATACAGAAATGACCTTGTCTTTAGCCTTTTGCAAGTCTAGCCCCCCCCAATCTATTGTATGCCCGACGGTCCCTGCTCGGCAAACTAGATAGCCAGGGCCTCCGACGAAGGGGGGAGGCCGGTGGGGCCTTGGCGCCCCCACTTTTCTGCCAAACAATAAAAAAAAATTTCAAAATCTTTTGTTATGGGTGCTAAATTTTCCCTTGCCCCCCCCACTTTTCAACCTTTGTCGGAGCCCATGACAGCGTTAGGTAGGGTACAAGGGCGTATGAGAAATGGGGGTTGGAAGTGCTACAGCCCCTTACCCGGGGAAAATTTGTCGACTTTCAGGATCCATTCGAACAGTTCTATCTCATTGAAGCAAAAGTATTCGGGCTTTATCCATACAAATCCGCACCCTTTCCATGCCTCCCCCACCCCAGCTCCCGGAAAAAACATTTAGCATTTTTCCGCTACCCTAAGATGAGCAATATTTACCGACAAAGTTTTTGATTTTTCACTTCATCCTTGAAATAGGACTATATCCTTATTTTAATTAGCTTTGTACAAGTGCACCCGCCTGTAAAATCCCCTCAATTTCTTCTGTTCTCTTCTTCCGTGTTGAATCTCCCTGTTCAACAACACCAACAACATAAACAAAATCGAAGCATTCGAAGAATGTCTTAACAAATGGAAGCAGAGAAATCGAATTTGTTTAGATTGAAAGATCCTTCGGCAACCAGTGGACTGTTTAGTTGATATAACGGTTTGTGGTACAAATTTACTATTTTAACTGTTTTAAGAATGAAAATGAGTTATATCGAAGAAAACGTCGCCATCAAAGCGACACTTTGTTGTTTGTTGCCAAGGTTATAGCATCATGGTGTCCTGTATTAACGCCCTCGATAGGCAATTCACATGGAGGGTCGTAGAATTTGGCAGTGGGGAAAAAGAGGTCGACTTGTAAATGTATTTAGCGACCGGTTTTTTATTACCAAAGTGAATCGTGGTCAAAATATATGTTTTTAAAATCATGGAAATCTTGAAACAACACTAAACTTCAGTATCATCTTTTAAATTCCACAACATACAATTTAGTTAATAGAATTCAGCTACACAAAGAAACAATTAAACTACAAATACATAATCTTAAATCTGTTGGAAATCGCCAGTGGAACAGCCTTATCTTATCATAATCTCGCCCCAAAAGAGTCTCTATTACAAAATTTCATTGCACTTGAAAACGAAAGGAGCATTGATGAATCTCACTGTTACAGTTTCCAACCTCCCAAAAAAAGTTTCTTTTAGACAATTTCCTGGCATAAACAATTAAATGTATACTCATGATGTTAAAATTGATGACATCATAATTAAAGAACTCTTAAAAAACATAAAGCATTGAAATTTTCCAAAGCAATAAGAAACTGGAGTACTCAATGCTGACCTTTGTTTCTTATAAAATAACGATTGTATTCAAGACTATGATTCCAGTGATTTAACACATTGAAAGCAATTTGATAAATGATATTTCCCTCTGTTTAGTCCAAAATAAAAAAAAATGGAATGGATTGCCCCGTTCTCTTATAGGTTGGCTGTTGTGTTTGTCATCTCTTTGTTGCAGTCTTTCTATAAAGTGAGAGAAAGAAAGACAAAGTCCTTAAAAATTAAAAAATTAATATGATTAAATAGTGACTTTGTACTTTTGAAAGTTAAATATAATTGCAATGTTTAGAGAATAAATTTACATCATGTGACCTGGTAATTGTTCATAGAAGTACAGCAAGCTAGACTTTATTGATAACATCCCTCCACGAATGGTCCTTTTAATCATCAGCTGTTTAAAGATCTTAACCCTTACCCTAACCTTAACCCTAACTCTAACATTTTTAAAAAATGCAAATTTTAAAATTGCCACTTGTTAAGTTGTAATGCAAGTATGTCAATGGGGGTTGATGCCTTTTTTCTTGGGTAATTCTGAGTCTTTACCAAAAAGAGTTTAGTTATGGCTATAATCATTTGCCCAAGGTATGTCAACAATTAACTGTTTTGGTAGATTCGTAACAAGAAACAAACAAAGAAACAAGAAATGCCTGAAATTTGTGGATCTAGAATGCAGCAGAAGCATTTCACCATATAGTGGATCCAACAATATAGTGAAATGCTTCTTTCTTTTGGGAGCTGTTGGTTGGTACCATGGGGGTATGGGAGGGAGTGAAATCATCCCAATTTTATCAAAATATGTTCCAAAATTATCTAACAGTTAACTTTTTGCAAAGCACTGGGTAGGTCATGCTGTTTCCAGATTTATTTATGTAAAAATACCTTGGATATAGCAATGTAATCAGACACAAGTCTCAATGATTTTTCATTGCCTTTTCCCATTGCCTTCACATCTTGCAGTCGCTGACAACTCCAATTCCATTCTTACTTAGAGAACAGAAGGATTGGTAAAAAGTTTTTAGCAATATTCCATGAATTTCAATTTCTTGAAAAAAAGAAAGTTGGAACTTTGCTCATGAAAATGTCTAAAATGAAAATGTCTTGAATCAAAGGCTTTCATAAAGTGTCTATTTCATAAACTGGCTATCTTTTCTTTTTAGTCATGTAACTTCTCAATATGCTAGTAATCAGGGTCAGATAAAAAGTTAGCTTTGTGTACAAAAACACCCAAAGCCCTTTTGGGTTGTCACCTGGCATATATTTACTTTTCCTTGGTGTCTCACCTGGGATCTGGTGTCTCACCTGGGAAGAAGACTTTTTGAAAGGACTTTGATTTTATTGTGGATGGCTACAGGGTTTTTGTGAAGTTTAATTCCCCCTATTGTATCATTATTGTATATATATGTGTTTTTGTAGCAGTGTTTTGTAGTTTTCTATTTGCATAAATTGGGCTGCTAAGTTGGGCAGGTGCACTGTGGTGCCAACTTTTTTGGATCACTGCATTTTCTGACACAATATTTTTGTGCCTGAGAAAGAGCATACATTAGACAAGGAAATTGCAGAATTTTTAAGTTTTCTGACTGCAAGGAGTCATGGGAGCATTTAATTCATTCGGTGTACGGGGTTGTTAACTTCAATGGCTGTAATACCAGAATATGATACAATCAAGCTGAGTCTAAAAATGGCAGCAACGGCTGTGTTGTTCCTCAAGGCTCTTGTTCAGGTCCATTTCTCATCCAGAAAATTATGGATATTCAATGTGGCTGCAAAACAAGAGGGAAACAATAATCAGGTGCATGGAAACTTTGATGACAGAACAGGCCACAAAATATATTTAGATCAACAGTCATTGATGTTGTTAAACAATGTTTTGCTAAGGAAGAATTTAAGTTCAACCAAAGCAGTGGCGTAGATAAAGGAGGGTCAGATGGGGTGAATCCCTCCTCTCCTGTGGAGCTAAACTGCAATTTTGGCTGAAAAACTTCTGATCTTCTCGAAAATATAGCATGGTTGTATATAACCTATAAATGTTTTACATTTTAAAAGGAAAGAGATTAAGCCATGTCTTTGTTTTTCTGAATGAGACTATCAATCTTTTTCGATTAAATATGGTAATTAAAAATGCCTTTTTCTAGAGGAGACCAGGAAGTCTTTGAAGTAGCATTGTTTGTAACACTTGATTTTGAAAAAAAAAGATTGAGGTCTGAAAAAATCTTTTTTGGAACAAAATCTGAAAATGGCTCCTAATAAAACAAAAATTGTTGAGAGTTACTAAAGCTTTCATCTGATATTGGTCAGATTTGAAAGCGTAAGAGCATAGATCGAAAACTCTAAGCAAGGAAATACATGTACCTTTATTTTGAAAAAAAATTTGTTTCTTTCAAAATAATTTTGAAAAGTTTTTTTGTATTTTGTCTCTGTTCTAATGTAGTTATATCGCATTCGATTTTACGAAAAATGTGTTCTAATTTAGTTCTATTGTCTTAGTAATGACGTCATATAAATCTATCATTAGAGTTTCTTGATTTCTTACCATACGTGACCCCAAAGGAAACAATGGAATAGTCTAAACCTGAAGTTATCTCCATCGATTACCGACGTTTGAGTTTGCCACAATCTCCCAATAGAGTTGTCAAGTGATGACGTCAAAAAATCTATTTTTAGAATTTTTGAAATTTTTTCCCATAACATGAAAGAGCATCATGAAATACCTCTAAATCTGCAAAATCAGTCAAAGGTATTACGAATTGGTTGAGATATGGCCACTTGAGCAAAGGCTCTTGCCTTATCAAACCTCTGTAAATTGATCTTGGTTCACAACGTTATGAACTGAGCCAAAATAACAGTAATCCGTTAGGAAATCTCAAATCTTCTATTGGCCATAGTTCACCTGATTTTGATAAATTTAACTGATTTTGGATATTTCGGAGTATTTCATGGTGTTCTTTTATGTTATGCGGTCAAAACTCAAAAATTCTAAAAATGGTTCTATTGTGACGTCACACTTGAGAGCTCTATAAACCGGACAATGGAGATGTTTAGGGCGACCAAGTTGAAGTATTATGGCTTGATAGCTGTTCGGAACATTGATTTAAATATCATCTTGAAAACGAGGGATTTCAGCGTTTCATGCTTGGTTCATAAACTTCAGATTAAGTTTAGGCCAGTTAAGTGTGAACCGGGCCTTTATCTTTTCCCAATATTGTTCAATCTTTTCCCTATAGGTTGGACTATCTCAAGCAAACGCTGAAATGGAAGTGCCACCACCACCATACGATGAGGCGGTCTCAGACAAAGGTGGCAAACACCGCGAGTTGAATTGTGAAGATTACCACGACCCGGATTCGGGACCGCGTCCGGATCAGTATAGCGCAATGGGCTGGTTTGAAAAGCAAGGATGGAAAACAAAATGGCCACTTCACTATGCTGCAATGAAAGGTATTTTGGAAGCTTTGTATTCATTTTCAGGAATGAAATCACGTTTTTAGTCATTTATGTGTTTCAAATATGCCATCTTTCCTAACTAGAAGTTTCGAATAAGGCGCATTTCCGACTGAATTCCCTTCTCATAAATTTTCTCCATCTTTAGCAGTGAGTTTTGAATAAGCTTTCCCTAAGGGGAGTATTAAATGTGATGCGGTGTTCCTATTGGTTATTCCTTTTCTTTACAAGTCAGCATGTCACATATTCCTTTCGTTATTTTTGCCAATGCCAATGATTTTATGTAGCTAAAAAACGAGCATTTCCCATCATTACATTATTGTTATCGTCCTTTTCAGGAGACGTTATTTCTATCATTCGTTTGGTCCAAAGGGAAAAGATTCCCCCGGATCAAAAAATGACCGTCTGGTTTGATTCTGAGCCGGTCGGATGGGCAGCTTCATTTGGTCAACTTGGTGCTTTGAGATGTCTAATTGACCTCGGTGCATACCCATTCACAAAGAACAAAGCTGGAAACGATACTATAGATGATGCTAAAAGAGAAAAACACGATAAATGCCTCAAGTTTTTGGTAGAATACAAACGGACTAATAATACCATGGCGGCCATGACAAGCGCAGACGGAGCCGGTTGTTCGTCAGGTAACATCTCAGCAGCACCTTACGAGCCTCCAGCTTCTGCACGGATGATCAAAGCGGAGGATTATATCGAACCCGGGACCGGACCGCATTGTCACCAAAGAATGGCTTTTGGCTGGTTTGAGTCCAGAGGCTGGGTACCGAGATTCCCGGTTCACTATGCCGCTATGAAAGGTTAGTAGTATATGTATGGGCTTTTCCTAGGAGTTCCCCGACGAAGGAGCCAACCTCGTTTCATTGAGTTGGCCCCATTTGCTAGTTTCTCATCTAAGCAGATGTCAGTTTGGTACCATTTTAGGCCAATGGATTGCGAAAACACTGCTTTTACTTAACGAAAGATGAATCGACGTTATTGTTGTACGACGTTGGGTAAACTAACTCAAATGGGAAAATCTGTCTCGTCTTTCACATCCTATGATAACGGCTACAGCTTTCTTCGGATTGATCTATAAAATTAATGATTTCTTTGGCAAATCGGGGGTTTCCAAAGTGGAAAAACTCTAGAGAAAGTCATTCAAAATGGTCTGCTTTTTAGAACCCAAAGCCTTTGATGTTCTTCAGGTTAACATGATTGTCGGTAAACGCTATTTGGTGTTGGAACAGGACGGTACTAAGCTTCTAATCCGAGTTTTGCGCTTAATGAGGTCATCGAGAAACCGTCCGGTTCCGCGTCCGGTTCCATACACCAAAAGCGAGTTCACCCCTGTCTATGAGGTATCGAGCAATTTAAGAAAGATTGGAAAACTGTAATTTTCATTTTCATAATTGTTGGTAACTCAAAAGCCAAGAATTTCAATTTCTGACAATATACTTATTGCATGAAAAATACAACCCTGACTGCAAACATTTAACTTCCAGGTGATGTTGCGTCAATAATAGACCTGGTTCTCAACAAGCATCGTCGTCCGGACGAAATAATGACCGACTGGTTTGATTCTGAGCCGGTCGGATGGGCATCTTCCCTCGGACAACTTGGTGCCTTGCGTTGCCTAATAGATCTCGGTGCCTACCCTTTCAAGATAAACAAAGCCGGATTTAATGCATTAACAGACGCCCAGAGGGAAAAACACCGGAAGTGCATTGCATTCTTGGAGGAATACCAGAGGTCAGGCGACGTGCGAGCTGCGAAGGAGGCATCTAACATGGCTCCAGAAGATTGTTGTTGTCGAATTCTATAACGGCCAGTCTCTTCGAAGCAGGGGCTGACTGAATTTATGCACAGTGACTCACCGATAAACGATCGAATTATGCCTATCGTAAATCCTCGAATAAGCCCCCACCCTCGAATAAGCCCCCCCCTCCTCGAATAAGCCCCCACCTTAAAGAAATCATTTTTTGCAAATAAGCCCCCCCCCCCGAATAAGCCCCCACTTAAAAATCATTTTTGCAAATAAGCCCCCCTCGAATAAGCTCCTCACCAAGAAGCAAGAAAGCGACTTTTGTGATGATAAAAAATTATAATACTTGTTAGTTCTTTTTTAGTTTTGTTAGAAAATTATGTCAATTTTATATCGACCTAAACTAAACTTATCGGAAAATACTAAACTTTGAAATCCCCCCCTTGAATGAGCCCCCCATCGAATAGGCCCGTGCCCAAAAATTCATCTTTGCAAATGAGCCCCCGGGGGCCTTTTCGAGGATTTACGGTGTTTGATTCTGTAAACCTGCAAATTTTTAGTATTTCTTGGCTTGTTTGAGGAGTTTATCGGTACGGATTCCCTGTTTCAAACAAGCAACAAATGGTCCATCTCACAGGCACTTCCTACGAAGAGAGCCGTCCTAATACGTTAGGGAGAGGCTGTGCTGCAGACACCTTCTAGAAGCCATACCCATTGCCTTACCCTTTTAACGCCTAATTTTTAGAATTCGTCAAACTAAACATTTGCCTTCTTGTTCAGGAAGAGGAAACCCCACCCTTCCTGAAATCTCTGTGAATTTTGCAACACCGTGCAAAAGAGACAAAAAGTTTTCAGGAAGGGAACTGGCACCCCTACCTCAGGCACCGTGCAGCCATTTGGCTAGCAGGGGCTAACCCCCCCCCCCCCCCTTTTTTGCAATAATAGACTAGAACTTTTTTGGAAGGTTTAAGAACGCAACTTTGGATGGTTTAGTCCTATGTATTAGCAATTCTTCTTGACTGGAATCCTATTTTTTCATTTTCTAGGTGTTTTATCTTGTGTAATGAGATGTAGCCTGCGTGCAGACTTTAAAAGTGTCCCACTTTCCCCATAGTCGAGTATGCGCGCAGACTAATGATATGATGTATTTTCTAACTTAGTTAGCTTGGTGTTTGTTTACCCTCCAGCTAATTTTATCTATTTTCATAGTTATTGATATCTTCTCTGAACCAGACTGTGTTAAAAAATTTCGGGTACACCCATTTCAGCCTCCCCACTTCTAGACTGGTGCGCGGTCCCTGCCCTACCTTGTTATGTTGCTAACCCAAGATAAGCTCCCTCCCACTTAGGCCCTAACCCTACACGCAAACAGTGTCAAATAGACTGAGTGTGCCTAGGAAAGGAACTGGCGAGCCTCATAATTTGCTGTTAGCCCCTTCTCAGGGCCCACGCCACGAATTTCAAGGTGGAGGGGCCAAGTTCTATTCATCAAACTTGAATTTAGTGCTTCAAAACAGGGTCTCTATTTTTTGGAAATATTTTTGCATTCCAAAGAGGTGGGGGGGGGGCAAGTCCCCTCCGGTCCTCCCCGTTGACGTGGGCCCTGCTTCTACCAGTCATTTCAACTATGTAGAAATCATGAAAACAGACATAAGGCACTTAGTAATGAATCTGGCAAACCTTCCTTATCTTGCTGAGATTTTCTTTACAGGTACTTCATGTACGTAGAAGCATAGACTATTGTAGAAGTCTTTTAAAAGAGATTAGGCGTCTAGAAAAGGAACTGGCCTCCACCCTACATTATCATACTGTTTACCAGGAATCTCGCACCAGTCTAAAGTGGGTGGGCTGAAAAGGGCGTGACCGAAATTTGTTTGACACCACGCCCTTTAGTGCGGAGGAAAACGCCCTTTTCAGTAAATACTTGCTTTTTTCTTGAAGAGTTCCCAGTCAAAAGTTAGAAAGATCTGCTACTGCTAAGGATCCGTTAGAGAAAACTTTCTAAAAATGTTGTTACCATTTATTGCAAAAAAGTGGGGGGGGGGGTGCTATAGCCCCTGCTAGCCCAATGGTACCCTGGGTCTGAGAGAGCCTGAGAGAGTCAATCGCAATTCCTTTTCCCGGTCTTCATCATTTGACTCTCTGAGGCTCTGGCACCCAGGGTAGCCCAAAGACTGCGCGGTTCCCCTCGTTAGCAAAGAACAAGATAATTCTCTTAAAGCTATTTTCCCTTGGTACAATGTGTATACAAACTCGCGTTTTTTAAAAATCATATTCTTAAATGTAATATTTATTAGGGCTTTATTCGTTTTGAGCAATAATTAACATCACTATAAAATAATGGTAAGTTGTTTAATTTTGTTGCTATGCCATTTTATTTTATTTTATTTTACGCAAAGTCAGGGCTTGTGCTATAACTGGGGACAGCTGGAAATGAAATTGAAGTTTATGAGAAGTGAATTAATTGCCAAAATGAAATAGATTGTTGAAATCTCGACGCCTCGAGCTAGTGGCGGATTAAAGGGGGGGGCAACTTGGGGCCCTCCCTCAACGAGTTGAAGCAAGTCTGGCGCTTTTTTTTTGGAAATTCTGCGCTCCTTTTGAAGAATGAGAATCAGATGAAAAAGGTTCTTGGACCGATAGGTTAATTTGCTTCAAGGATTACCTCAAAGTTATGTTGTTTATTCCAAAAATGGATCTGAAATTGTTGTATACAACGAACTCTCGTCACCAATTTTGCAAATTTTTTAGCGCCCCCACTACTACCAACTGCCCCTTCTTCAAATTTGCTCTGGATCCGCCCCTGCTTCGAGCATGTTCTCGTTACCAACTGAATTTTTGTGGTGCCTGAAAAAGAGCTTTCATTAGATCAGGAAACTGCAGAGTTTGAAGATAAAATTACTCTGAAAACTGCAAACTCAGACAATTACTGACAAAAAAACGGCATATTATAAAAATCCCTCCAGTCTGTTTTAAAGTGCTTCTACTTGCCAACTACCAACTTGAAAGGGCTACATACAGATCACTCTACATATTGATTAATTGCTATTACTTTATCCACAACTAAAAGAGTTCTGCTCATTATTTATTTCTGTTCTTTAAACATGCTTTGGAAAATATTTTTTAATCCCTTGTAATATTGTATTTTTTAAATTGTATTTTAAAGTTTGAACATCAATGAAAGTCTCAATAATCAAATATATTTTTGCTTTGTTTTTTTTCTGTTTTGTCTCTGGCTGATGGACCTGCAGTCATTGCAGTTCTGTCTGAGAGGCACACCGAAGGAACATTGGGGCAGTAACCCCCACTTTTTGCTGAAATATGATATAAAGGATTTGTCATCAAAGTGCCTGGGTACCGGAGCCACAAATTTCGAGCGAGGAAAAAGATGGTAGGAATAGATAAGTGGAGGGGCGTCTTTCTGGGAGGAGCTTTCAAATCTTTGCTGGAATCAATGTGGTTCTGGTTTTGAGGGTATAATCAAATTTAATGTTGGCAAACTAGTATTGAAGGAAAGTTCTCAAGCCAGTTCCCCAACCACACCATAATGTGCTCCATTGACCCTGTGTTAGGCGTGTCATAGCAAATGGCCAAAAAATAACAAAAAATCTTCTCATAATTATTATTATCTTCGGTATGATCTTCTTCTTCTCTAAACACTTTTCTTAGAATCCTTGCTGCTTCTAACCAGGCTGTTATTTGAACAGCTCTCGCGTCAAACTCCTTCAATTCAGCAGTTGGAAGCGGAGCATAACGACCGAGAAAGAGACAAAAAACATTATTAAACAATCATGACAAGTTGTTTAACTTTGTTGCTATGCCGTTTTACTTTATTTTACTTAAAATCAGGGCTTGCGCGATAACTACGGAAATGAAGTTTCTGATTCTGAGTTTTGTTTCGATCATTTTCGAGTCTTTTCCTAGATAAAGGGGGCTCACGTCGATTTTGGGCGATGGTTTTTATTTAACAGGATACCCTGTTGTCTTGAGCGCAAGAAATTTTAAAAAAGTTGTTAAAAACAAGGAAGCAAGGAAACTTTTCCGTTACAATAAGGGCCAGTAATGATTATTGGGGGAGAGGGAGTTAGTTAAGGTGATTATTTGTTAAATAGCATCACCTCTCTCCTACAAGGCACTGCGGAGCAGGGGGGCTGGAGGCTTTAGTCCCCCCTCTTTTTGCAAAAACTGTCAAATATTAAACCAGTAAAGCCTCTTTTTATACGGTTTTAGCAGCCCCCTTTTTAGACCCCCCACTTTTTCAAAACTCCGCAGTGCCTGTCTACATAATCTTACCAACAACAATAGAGAAGATATGCACCATTCTCAATAGCCAGATCATCATCCGGTTTCTTTTCACATGACCTGATATTTCACAACATTTGGCAGAGGCTCTTGCAAGAAAGGATTGAAGAGTATGTTTGGTTAAAACAGCGGAGGATGAGACAGTCATCATCAGCAAATGTGAATGGGATATTTGTCGAGATGAGGGTTGGAGCTGTTGCAGGAGGGAAGAATTTAACAATGTTTGAAATCCTGCCTTTGTTGATACTGTTGGATCCTTCGAGGGGAACAGAGTTGGTACTCTTGCAAGAGCTATTATACTTATACCCATACATCAAAGCTTGCCTCTTTTCTCAAAAACCAGATTATCCTCCAGTTTCTCTTCACATATCCTGATATTTCACAATATGTTCTTTATCCTTTATTTCACTGACTAATGTGGCATAAGTTACGGAGAAAACCCAACCCCTAAAAGAGAAAAACATTGCCTTATGCAAAACAAATTTTAGTTGAGAATGTCAGATTATTAATTTTTTAATAAATCTGATTTTTTATATCATGCCACAAGGAATGAATGAGTTCAGCATAAACTAGAGCCTGAACCGATTTAGTTACTTATTATAACTATATGTCCGTTAGAAATCAGAAGTGTTGCTGAAAAAGTGAAATACGAAAAGTTTGAAGTAGAAGCAGTTGCGAAGAAAAGTGACGTGGAGGGACCAAGAAGTACTGAATGCTGCTGCGAAAACACAAATTGTGCTAGAAGACGATGAAAATGCTGAAGAAAAAGCAAGGGACAGTTGTAAAATTTGAGGTTTGTTAAACTCTAATTTTAGGGGGAGTTGTGAACCGATTTAGTTACTCATTATAACATTGCTCTGTTCGTTCCGTTGCGCTAGTCCGCAAATTACATTAATGACATTTACAGTAAAATTATGACTGGGACCGAGAATAGAGGCCATGTTAGTTTTCGTGATCGAGTGTTGTGTTATCGTTAAAAATAGAAAAGTAGTGGAACTTTATGCGTTTTTACTCGAGTGACGGTGTGCCTTGACAATTTCAGTACATCTGGCGACCCTGCAATCGATTAGTGAAGGTGTACCGTGACAAGCTTTAACAAGTTCGGTACACGGCCCCTCTTTCTCTTTTTGTGTTTTTTTTCTATTCTAAAACTTTGTTTGCAGTACGTCATTCTTTTCTTCTTCTGCTAAACCATTTCGATATGCTACGACGAACCGCAAATTCTCTTTCCTTTCTCCTAGTAACCAGGCAAGAATTAAGCCGCATCATAGGCACGCGTTCCCCGCGCAATAGTTTTTATCCGTGATTCCGCTCGCGCATTATTAGGAATCTGCCTTAGATTCCACGCAAAATATTTTCTTATCTGTTCATGTAATGAAAACAAATAATGAATACAAGGCTTCTTCGAAAGCCTTTCCTTTGAATCCCGCGCACGATTTCGCGGGAAACGTTCGTTATACGCTAATTTCAAAGTTTTTGTTCTGGCGTTCCCACGCAAAAAATACTTCACCGTCTTGTATTAGCCAGAAACTTTTCTTTTGAGCTAGACAACAGTTGGATCTGAAACCTGAAAATTAAAGGTGAAGTTTTGAATTTGGATAAAAAATAAATCACAACCTACTTTACTCCAAAGTCTATTTTCAACATTTTCAACTCCAAAGTCTCCAAAGTCTACGCTTCAAACAAACGCCATTTTTAAAGTTTTAGAGTTCAGTTCATTATATCAACAGGCACCGTTGCTGAGATAAAATATACTTCACGGTGAAAATTTGTCCTGTCTTCAAAAATTTTGTCATTAGTTTCTTTCTTCAACTCAAACACGGGCAGCGCATCTCATCTCATCCATCAGGCATCTTTAAACGTTTAGGCCCAAAAAGGGTTAAGCTGATGACAGCTAAGTGTGAGCTACATTTGCAAGTGAGGGTACTATTTAGGGTGTGACGGTGCGGAGGAGCCATGGTCATGGTTATTGCGCAAATTGATAAGAATTTTGGGAAACTGCGCAGCACCACGTGCAGCACCCACGTGGTTGTAAATTTAAAGGCTGTAACCATTTCAAATATCAAATGTTGACTGTCGTGTTATTGCACGAGGAGAGTGTAATAAATGCACGGAATGCCCCAAATTTATGGGGGAGAAATCAATTTTCGTTTTTGCATATTGTTCGAGCCCACCAAGATCTCAAAGTATCGTGGAATACTCATCTGTCATAGATAGAAAGGGAACTGTGGATAATTTGGAATCCAAGAAACGGTATTATTTTTTATACATAATCTCATAAAGTTATGTAAAACAGACAAACTACAACACAATGCCACAGGGAGCATGGAAATACATAGCAACCCTGTGACCATTACATTAAACATGTTTACATGAAATTAGAGTTACATTAAATGTTGCAAATTACATGTTACAGATTACTAATAACATAAAAAAACACTTACAATTTGCAAGTTAAAACAAAAACAAAACAAAATACATTGACAAAAACAAAACAAGAATGATGACATGGTAAACAAGGTATTACTTACAGCCTTTGCAATTTATTTGAATCTATTTCAAGTTTATTTATTCTGTGTCATCATTACTCCCTTGCTATCAGTTACCAAAAAGATAGAAACCTCCCCCTATGAAAAGAGAGGGACACTATTTGTGCCACATAGAGTAAAAAGCTATTGATGAACTGGATCAAATGTAGAGGCAGTGTGTATTCTCAGCCCACTGCCTAATTTAGACCTTTTTCCCAAGAACACAGATTCTGCTAAACCGCACTACTAAAATTGCCGGAAATATCTAATATAGATAAGACAAGATAAGATAAGACAAAATAAGATAAGATAGATATAGGTAAGTATCTTAACCAAAAGTACGCAATTTTCCCCATTTATTCTTTTCCCAGACCGTTTTAGAAGAACACTATCAGTGGCCAACACTACTCTGAATTAGGCACTGCCTCAGCAAATATACGTAAACAATAGCAAGCTCAATATGATCAAGGAACTACGCTAGAAGCTCTTTCCATTAGATGTCACAGCAACAATTCAAACTTACACCAGCAAGTACTTTTAAAGCTTTAGCGAGGGCCAAGTCACTCTCAAAAGTCTCATACATCTTTGGTAGAATTATCACACTAGATTTCTCAATTCACTATCTAGCATTAAAATCTTGTATATCTCACAAGTTAGTATAGTTAAAGGCTCTTGCGCAACCGGCATGCTTTGCGACCATTGTTCAAAGAACCGGCCTAATATCGTACTGCATGAAAATACAAAACACAGTCAATTTCTCAAGACAACTGCCGCTAAGCATGCCGGTTGCGCGGATGCACTTTAAAGTACGTCTTTGTGTGTACTTTGAGGCTGAATATGGTAGCGACGTTATGAAATACAGTTTCAAATCTCGTACAACTTTGGTGGAAATCCAATGGTTCTATCTGAAAATCCTTGGAAATCCTTTCGTCTTGTCGAAAACATGAGTACGCTATGAGCAAGAGTTAATCGCTTTGGCGGAAATCCTTTTGTTTTCAAGAAAATCCTTCAAATATCCGTAAACATGCGTTAGTTCTAAAAAATTTCATATATTTTTTTGAATGAATGAAGTGTTGCTCAAGACTTCCATATGTAAAGATTGTTGTAACCCAAAAATTGGAGCTGCAAGTACCTTATGTAATCTAAGGCATCTCAGACCAAAACAGCGCTAAATATTCAGGCAAATATGTTCCAACCCTTTCTGTTTTTTCCGCATGATAAAAATCTTAATATTAGCTATGATGTTTTAAATGTCAAGAAATATATTTGCAGTAGTATTTTAGGCCAATTTGAGAATCGATGCATTAAAAAAACAAGAACCAAATGAAGGAACTTTTAGTAATTAGATACGAAAATTCTCATGTTGGGTTAAAGAAGCTTTTAGTATCATGGCCTGATTCACATTTCTTATTAAAAAGTGAGCAACCACTTTAGGTTTCTCATATACAGATAACGAAGGCCTATTGCAGGAGTCTGCAAGCATCTTTCACAAAGGTTAGATCTCACTACAGGAAACTCAATTAGAAGTCACTCAAATGAGAGAATCCAAAGGTAAATTGGAAGCATCCATTTCAAAACAGCAATATGAAGATTGCAAGAAAACTTTTTGGTCGATAACTCATGTTTAATGAGAAAGTTGCCCCAATGAATAGCTTGAAATTGGAAGAAAACAAATGTGATGGTTTTATGGTTACATGCCTACCATGTTCTGGCAAAAAAGCGAAAGTCATTGATACCGACTATAAATCTAAGTCTCTGTCCAATTTGAAGGCCCATATGAAGAAACGCTCACACAAATTAAAAGTCGATGACTTAGGTTGAGACACTAAAGTTAAAAGAGCAGGGCTTCCGCAAGCTGAAAAGCTTAGAAGTCCAGTGAGGATGTATTTGCAATGATAGAAAAGCTATTTCCAGGTAAATTTGGGCTACTCCAGCTTGGGGAAACCTAGAAGGATGCAAGATGTCGCTCATGTAGCAATTTGCGTGGTTCCAGACAGGGGTAGCCTCTTGTTTAATGTAGAGAAACATGCTAAGTCTAGTGAAAGTACAAGGAAAAGAAAGACTGGAAACCAACTATCACTTGAGCGTTTCCTAAGGCCAGCAGGAAAAGAGAGCAAGTCGTTGTGACTAGAAGGAGAACAAAACAGGTACTCAACGTTCCATGGAATTTTTGAACGAGAAATTGTAATTGCTGGGAAAAACTATTCTTTAGAGACAATGCAATCAACTCACAAAGAGGGATCAAGGCTGGTGAGCCAATCTTGTATTCTGTTTCAAGATTCACAACACAATAGATGGAAAAAAGCGTAAATTGTAAAAAATGCTTCTAAATGCAACTACAGAGCAGTCCTTTTTAAAAAGGGTGCAAAAAACCAAAGAAAACAGTGGCCAAGCTTATGCTTTTACTAAAGCTCACAACCGTTTCTTAGACAGAAGCAGGCATCGCGGAAAAGGGGGGCTTTTGAGGCTATAGCCCCTACTTTCTCCCGAAAATGCAATAAATTTAACAATGAATCACTAGTCAAACTACATTTTATTCGGCTCTAGCCCAACCCCTTTTCTAGATCCCCCACTTTTCTCAACGCCCCACGGTGCCTGAGAAGTGCACAATTAAAGAGTGTAAAGGCTGGCCAAAGAGTGTAAGCCTTTAACCTTTCAAAAACCTTTGCAAGACCTAGGTCGTCAGATTCTTTCTGCTGATCTATGAAAAAGATTTTTATCTTTTGTATGCCTAACCATGAAATTACAATGATCTATTTTCCCCTGCAAATGCTACCACAAAGACCTCAACACATTGTTAAAAAAGACAACTGTTTTTGTATTAAAATGCTTACAAAGGAGACTATTTTCAAAATAATCATAATTTAATTGGATAATTTGGTTGCTAACCGTTGCAAGACCTAGGTCGTCTAAAGTCAAGTCATCTGAACGTCTTGGCGAACAAGCCAAGCGAGGAAATGTATCAGGATGTATATGCAGCTTATGAAAATGGATTATTGTCTGGGAAATCGAAAATGTTGAAATCAATAAGAGACACAATGCGTCTACCTAACACCCTAGCTTCGTTCATCACTACCGAGTTTTACAAAAGAAACAAAACATGAGTTCAGTTGTATTTTAAAACCAAGCAAAATACATTCTCTTCAATTGAAATGATTGTGGCGTCAAAAGATGCAATAAAAATGAATTTTTTTCGCTCAATGAAAATAATTTTTTTTATCGAAAATAATTCGATTGTCTCAACAAAGTAATCCATTTTGAGATACAGCACTTGTCAAAACAATGAGAAATAAGCGAGAAAACACATGGTAAAGATTTTGTAATCGTTTCATGACGTCATTTTGCAATGTTTTTAAGAGGTGATATTAACTTCTGAACTTTTTTCTCATTATTTATTATAAAGATATATGTTTAACTAAGAAAACTAAAAATGACTATTTTCAATTTTTCCGGCTTCCTACCCCCGATTGTTCAAACCCCTGACGTTTATTATTGCCTATAAAACCATTTCCAGCCCTCTGATTTTTCAAACCTTCATGATAGTTCCAACCCCTTCCGATTATTATTATATTGCACCATTTCCGCCTCCTTGATTATTTCCACCCCCCGTTTATTCCTAATGTACTCCAAAGTACGTAGAAACATTCTTCTCATTGTCAGCTACAATGCCTGCCAAAAGTACGTGGAACACCCAGCAATATTTGATATCTTTCATTCCTTTCATGAAAAGAAAATTACTACTTCCGCCCCCTTCCCCCTAAAACAATGTTGATAATTTGGAGAAATATCATAAAAGAAGCGCAAAAGAAAGTGCTTCCTAAAATCCTAACCCTTTTGATAGTAAACCAACATTATTCTGTAGGGGAGAGGGGGATGATTGATTTTGACCTTGGAAATTGACGTCAGTGTTCAGGCGTCAAGACTTCTAGCAGGCATTGTACACTCAAAGAAAGAGTTAAGAATGCTGCATCTGTTTCCTTAGAGCTTGGAGACAAAGGTACATACATGAAAGTGAAAATGTTTCTTTGAAAAGCAATTTTGTATCAAGAGAATGCTATCAAGATGTGGTATTATCGTGTCATCATGTTGCTCTTTTCGTCAAGGCTTTGAGAGACTTTGCACTGAAACATTTGATTTGCTTCGAAAAACTCGATAGTGACTTGTGTAGAGATTATTTGCCGGCAAAATACTCTACTTTGACTGACATGTTCAGGAACGTCGGGCCCAAAAAGGCTGTGGGAAACATACATTTCAGAGGATGGACCAGACAACCCGAAAATATATGGAATGAGGGATATTCGAAGCCAATTGTGAAGGCAGATTTGTAGGATCTCCCGTTGGATAAAATATTGCAGGATGCCTGGAAGAATTAGCCAGCGCACAGACCTCAGAATACTGGGTCTGCACGCAGGCTAGGGAAAACGAGCTCACCTAAAAATGCAGGGCTTTGGAAAAAAGGAGTTGTTTCAGATGAAAACACATTTGATTTGCACAGGTCCCACAAAGAGGCTGTAATACCTTAGCACATGTGGGAAACAAAAGACAATGCAAAAGTAGCCACGGCTCAAGGTGATGGAGACGAATATGAACTTGAAGCAAATGACTCTGAACTTACGAATGAAAGCTGACCAAGATATAGCAAATGATATAGAACAGGAGCATAAAGCAACACTGTTTACCTTTCTGAACACAAACCCAACTCCTGCCTCCAAAGACGGCCACACAAGAGTAAAATTTACAGCCAATAAAAAATGAAAGGACACTGGGCCAGAGAGTGTGAGTTCATTTGAAGGCTGTTCAGGTTGAAGTGAAAGGGAGGCCATTGTGTCAGAAGATCGGGAAATGACACAAGAGGCTTTCTGGAATAAAAAAATCCGATCAGTCTTGCTGAAGCCAAAAAGAACCCAAGTGTGGCATTGCTATTAGATTTACATTGCCCTGATGAGAATTTCTACGTGTATGCAACAGGAGTGTACCACTTTGTTAAGTATAAATTGGAGGAAATTATCATGAAAGTTAACTTGTCGATTTGAGATGATGGTAAAGATTCTCTGGATGCAAGGGATAACCATTTATTGAACGCGTTCATCCAGAATGTTACGCGAAAAATGGAATGACATTCGTTTGAATGTGAGTGCAAATCAACAGCAATTTAGAAGCGCAGATGGAAAGGTGGTCGTTGATATGGAGAGCCAAGAGTTGGGAAAGGAAAGGGAACTCATCGTAGAACAGGAAGAAAGCGAGGAGTTATTGTTTATGAGGCCACTTAAAAGATTTGAGCTTTGTTTTTTAACTAGAATTTTGTTTAGAGTAGGAAGATTCTCGTTAATTTTCAGTCAGTTCCAAAATTTGCACTTAATACAGAAATGCATCTTTTATATGAAACCAAGAAAATGACCCACCATTGAACGTTTCTTTTCATTTTTTCTTGAATCAATAAAAGCCATTCATAGTAAAGTTTCTCAAAGGACACTTCCTCAGTACTCGATTTTCAAATTTTTTGATGATATGCCATTTGAATTCCTTTATGAAATGTTTCTTCTCAATAATACGTGGAATACATTTCTTTTTGACCATTGTTTTACAGTTTGCGTGGATCTTTTGGTAAAGCTTTTTGTTGAATCCCCTTCTCATAGGCAATTGAGAGCTATCTCAAATTCATATTCTACCGTCAGGGAGCCTTTGATTAAAACCTCTATAAAATCATGCATTTGATTCACAAACCAGATACTGATAAATACGTTTTTGCCCCCATCTCAGATAGTTACACCCACTTTACAATGAATTCAAACCCTTGTATCCCTGCGTCCTAAGAGGTAGAATCGTGTGCGATTTTGTTGATGAGCAGACAAATTGGAATGTAGTTTCTATTTGCAAACCGACATGAGGTAAGGTGTTACCTGACCAACTGATTGATCTAGAACGCTTCATAGTGTTACAGGCATTTATTCAGGTTATAGGTAGAGGTTGTATATAGCAAAAGTAGCTGGTTCATTGGGTGGCCTACTTACACAAAAACGGCAGAGCACAACAGCAACATTACTGGCCTAATTTTGACAATTGAAAGCAAGGAGGTGTGCAAATGTCATAATCTTGGTAAAACCCTGATGGCATCAACACAAAGTGGTTTCTTTTGATGTTGTGGTATGAATAAGTAAAGGATGATATAAGTAATCTATCCTTTGAAATTGTTAGTTAGAGCTAGTAGGTTTTAATAGACAGTTCCCGCATTCTACCCACAAAGCAACACAAGCTTCGCGGCGGCCATCTTGGAGGAATTGGGGGAAACCAGCGTGTTGATTGTTCACTGTTGTGGTGGAATGTGCAAGTAATGGAGGAATATTTCGAGTCACTAGATGGAGTTGCCAGGACTAGATATCTTGAAAAAACTGCAAAAGTGGAAAATTTAAATCCATATTCGAAAATGGTGACTGGCTGGAGCAAAGATTTTGATTCGTTTCCTCCAATATCGTACATTGATATAGTTAACAACCTCGTCCTCGGTTCATCTCCAGAGTACTCGATGTAGGAGATGAAAAATTACAAAAGCTTAGAAGCATACGATCGTTTTGTTGCTGGATGGGTACGAGAAGTTGGAGTACTGGCAAAGCAAGTCGAAGACCAAAGCAGTCAAACTCCAGACAATATATACATTATCCGAGCTAAGGTAATAATATTGGGTTTATCTTTTTCTATGCACTGTTTTTTTATAACAATAATCAGAACCTCAGAAAAGTCTCTCGAAAATCCAGGTCTCTTAACTTTGATCGAATCAAGTATCCAAAGTTTCTTAGAAGTGTCTTGATTTATTTGGTCCTTCTTCCAGTTTCTGGTCAAATTAGGTAAACAAATTTTATACACAAACATACCATATTGGTTCTGTAAAGTCAAATTTCTTTCCCATTTAGGTAAACCTTTCTCAGCGACTCAGTGTATTGCCTCTTTTTTGTGGGGTTATGATAAAAGAAAGTGTCAATATTCTTACAGCACGTTGAAACTGCATGGCTGGGTTAGGATAGAGCTGCTCCCATGTTGCATCTGTACGGTTTTACCTAGAAGCTGCAATGCTTTTAAAGGAAGCAGCAAAATTTACTGGGAAACCTGCCTAATGGAAAAAGACAGCTTCCAAGAAAAAATGGATATAAACAAATATTAGATATAGACTTCAGATCTCCAAAAAGAAAGATTTTAAAGCACTCGTGTTAGGCAAAGACTCTCAGCAAACACAAGGGGACAAAACAAATGCAAATGACGAACTGTTATCTGCATTTGAACCTGCAAGTGATAACTTTAAATCCTTCTTACATGAAATTTCCAAAACAAGACATAGGCCAGTTATCTTGTCAATTCACCAAGAATACTCTGCAAATTATATTCCAAAGTGTCTTATTGGAAATTGTCTGAATTAGTGAGTGAGCAAGTATGTCAAGGTTGCCTCATGGGATAGCAGCATTGCAATGCATTTCCGAAAGCATCATCAACTCGAGGTATTGTCAACAATACATAGTGACGTTTGCAGACCAATTAGCGTGGAATTGATTGGAAAGTCAAAGTACTTCGTAACATTTATCGATGATGCGTCTCGGTATACCCACGTTTATTTCCTTGGGCACAAAAGTGAAGTGCTAGAAAAATTCAAAGAATTTGTAAACTTAACAACCAAAGAGACTGGGAATAGAGTCAAGATACTTCGTACCGATAATGGTGGTGAATATTGCTCCAAAGAATTCATAGAATACATGAGAGAAAAAGGAATTCTACATCAAACAACAACTCCAATGAATCCAGAGCAAAATGGTGTTGTAGAACGCATGAATAGGACAATAGTGGAGACAGCTCGTTCAATGTTACATCATGCTAAATTACCAACTTCATTTTGGGCAGAAGCAGTTAGCACAGCTGTATTTTTGAAAAACCGCAGCTCAACAGTTGCACTTAATAAGCAGACTCCATTTGAATGCTGGTATGGTGTGAAGCCAAATGTGTCAAATCTTAAAGTGTTTGGTTGCATAGCTAATGTGCACATTGCTGATAAATATCGTCATAAATTTGCTGCTAAATCAAAACAAGCCATATTCGTTGGCTCCCCAATTGGAACAAAGGGGTTTAAGCTTTATGATCTTCAAGCTAAACCTTTCATTCGCAGTCGTGATGTTATCTTCTCAGAGAGAGACTTTCATGACTTTGATACAACTGCCTCGTCAAAATCTGATCATACATGTATAGAGTTTGATGACGAAATTAATCCAGAAGTTGATGGAAATGTTATTGAAGAAGTGAATCATGAAGTCAACCACAATATGTTACCAGTGGGAGCAACATATGAAGAGAACTTTATGAGAGAAATTGCAAAATTGCAATGTGCAAGAACACGTTCTTCTGCTAAGCTGGCTGAGCAAGTCAATGAAGAAAATGAAAATTGTTTAAGTGCTGATATTATAGCAGATGAAATTGATGAGCCAAGAAAGATCCAGGATGCAGGGACTGGAGAACATGCTAGTGAATGGAAAGAAGTTACTGATGCAGAATACTCGTCATTAATCAAAAACAAAACATGGGACTTAGTTCCAATTCCAAAAGGAAAGAATATTGTTGGGAGCAAGTGGGTGTTCAAAGTTAAGAGGAATGCAGATGGCTCTGTTGACCGCTCTAAGTCTCGCTTAGTAGCTCAAGGGTACTCACAAGCTGAATGGATTGATTACCAAGAGGTATTTTCACCTGTCATTTGATACTCTTCAATACGCTCATTACTTGCATTGGCAAACAAGAACAATTTAGAAATACACCAAATGGATGTTAAAACAGCATTTCTTCAGGATAATTTGGACAGTGAGATCTACATGAAGCAGCCTGAGGGTTATATTAATGCTGATAAACCAAATCATGTATGCAGGTTAAACAAAAGAATCTATTGCCTAAAGCAGGCGGCACGGTGCTGGAATGCTGCAATTGATTCATTTCTAAAGGATAATGGATACAAGTGTAGCACTGCTGATTCCTGTCTCTACATAAAATCTGAGAAGAAAGCTGATGGACAAGTCAACTTTCTCATTATTGCTCTATATGTAGATGATATTCTCATTGTATCAAACAGCAATGCAATGATAAATGCAAAAAAGAAGCTGTTGAGTCAAAAGTTTGATATGGTAGACCAAGGAAAATTACACTACATACTGGGAATGTTTTTTCACAGAAACAGAGCAGCTTAGACACTCATGATAAAACAATCAAAATATTTGGAAAGTATTTTGAAGAAGTTTGATATGGCGAACTGCAAGCTGGTATCAACTCCATTAGAGCCTGGTAGGAGGTATATGAAACTGCAAGAAAATGAAACTCCAGTTGACGTTCAAAGGTACCAAATGGCAATTGGCTGTTGAACATATGCCGCAACTGCCACTCGACTAGATATAGCAGCGGCAGTGGGGAGTTCTTTCACAATTTATGTCACACCCAAGCAAAGAGCATTGGCAAGGAATAAAGCGTATATTTCGCTATATAAAAGGGACTGTGAACTATGGTCTTAAGTTTGAGTCCTTCAGTGAAATGAATTCAAGCTTACTTGGCTATTCTGATGCTGATTGAGGTGGTGATTTGTCAACAAGAAAGTCAACATCAGGCTATTTATTCAAATTGTGTGGTGGAATTGTTTCATGGAAAACAAAGAAACAACCAGTTATTGCCTTATCATCAACTGAAGCAGAGTACATAGCTTTATGCTCTGCTACACAAGAGGCAGTCTGGCTGAGGAGATTGCTTGAAAGCATTGGTTTTGCACAACAAGAACCAACCACAATCTATTAACACAATCAAGGAGCTATAGCACTCTCAAAGAACACAAAGAACCATGCACAAACAAAACACATTGATATACGATATCATTATATCAGAGAAGCAATTGAAAAGAACAATATCATGCTTGAATATTGTCCTACAGTATCATTATATCAGAGACGCAATTGAAAAGAACAATATCATGCTTGAATATTGTCCTACAGTATCATTATATCAGAGAAGCAATTGAAAAGAACAATATCATGCTTGAATATTGTCCTACAGTATCATTATATCAGAGAAGCAATTGAAAAGAACAATATCATGCTTGAATATTGTCCTACAGTATCATTATATCAGAGAAGCAATTGAAAAGAACAATATCATGCTTGAATATTGTCCTACAGTATCATTATATCAGAGAAGCAATTGAAAAGAACAATATCATGCTTGAATATTGTCCTACAGTATCATTATATCAGAGAAGCAATTGAAAAGAACAATATCATGCTTGAATATTGTCCTACAGTATCATTATATCAGAGAAGCAATTGAAAAGAACAATATCATGCTTGAATATTGTCCTACAGTATCATTATATCAGAGAAGCAATTGAAAAGAACAATATCATGCTTGAATATTGTCCTACAGTATCATTATATCAGAGAAGCAATTGAAAAGAACAATATCATGCTTGAATATTGTCCTACAGAACAACAAACGGCTGATATTTTGACTAAAGGACTTGCAAAAGAAAGATTTCAAAAATTGCGTTCAATGATGGGAATAGACTGTTGAATAAACTGATAAACCATAATGAAATGACTGTTTATTATTTGCTATGATACTTACTTTGTTTGACTATATCAATATACATTCGTTAAGTGGGAGTGACAAGACATTTACTATTACCATGTTTTGACTCATAGTATCATTGATTGACTCTTTAAGTTCAGCCCATAGAAATAGTAGCGCTAGAATGCGCGGTCTATCACGTGACACGTGCGAACTATGGGGATCCAAAATGGTAGCAACAAGTTGGCAAAAAAATACGCGGGAAATCACAGCGGACAGCATTGCCTCCTATCACCGTATACGCGCTTGTCTCACTTATCAATCTAATATACTGTTGTCAACATTTAAAGATAATTCAGCGTTTAAAGATAAGAAAATGGTAGTGTCGTGTGCTGCTTTCGGCTGCCAGAATCGATGGATTCCTAAAAAAGACTTGCTTCCCGGTCAAACAAACATATCGTTCCACAAGTTAGTAGGCCCATTTGTGTGAACTGTGTTTCTCTTTATTCTTGATAGGAATTTGAATAGAAAAAAAATTCCAAAAATTCTATTATACTATTATTAATTATTTTGATCAACTGCTTTTCATCAACGATATTTCTACTAAGTTTACAAGCAGATGGTAGAGACATAATAATCATCTCACGAAATAATTCGGATTTTAAAGATAAATTTTCCAACAAATAACATAACATTTTGTTAGAAATAACATTCTAGCAAAATTAACATAACATTTTGTTAGAAATAACATTCTAGCAAAATTTCCCAACAAACTGGTAAAAAGGGGGGCATATATAGTATTTTTATGTATTTTAGTGAATACATACTTAACTATATGGTACCATATATCCCTTTTTGTAATGAGTTTATGAGGAAATGCATAGATAGGTTAAAATTTCCATTCCTATCCTTTATACAGATTATAACAAAAGTAAGGGGGTGTGGAGTGATCAAGTTATTTAAACAATATTAAGTTGTATTATGCAGCTCCATTAAATTTAAAATTCAAAGACAGAGAAATATCTTGAGCTCAATTCTCTTTCATTTATTAGTATATAAAACGACCAAAATGTTAACTTCGCCAAATATTACAAAATTGAATTTCAAAAGCCAAAAGCAAGTCCTTAGTTTTCAATTATGCAAATGATGTGGAAGAGTCACAAACCATATATTTTGTACAAAAAATACTGTTATATATTTAACTATGAGCCCAATTCTAAACAGGTTTCCACTTCAGAATCAGTCATTGTTACATAAATGGCCAATTGCAATGCATCAGAAACATTGGCATCCTTCTTCATCGCAACGAATTTGTGAAAAGCATTTTCTTCCAAGTGACTATAGCTATCCTCCCTCCATGCCAAACTCAGAGTCTTTATGTAAAAAGTATTTGAATAAAGATGCTGTCCCCTCTGTTTTCAATTTCCCTGCACATCTGCAAAAGCCATGTACGAAGAAAAGAGCAACTCCTGTTAAAAGGTCTAATCCTAAGCAAGCAGAAACACCACCCACACTTGATCCAAAGCAGGTCAAACTCGATCATGCTTTTGCATCAACTATTTCACCAAGGAAAATGAAAGCAAATATAAGAAAAAGCTTAATCAAAAGAACAAAATAATAAACATACTCAGGTCACGAAATTTTAGAAAAGCAAAAACTATTGAGGGTCTCATGACACAGCTTCATAAGTATAGATTGCTTTCTGAAGAAAATCAGAAGTCGTTGGCAGATAACTTTGGGCATATGACAACAGAGCTCTTCAGAAACGAAGCACAGAATTTTAAAAAAAGGGTCTGGTTCCAGGTATTGTGAAGAAATGAAAGAGTTTGCCATTTCTCTGCAATTCTATAGTCCAAGAGCCTGTAAGTTCATCAGAAAGTCACTTAATTTGCCACACCCAGCAACAATAAGGTCTTGGTCTATAAACATTGATTGTGAACCAGGCTTTTTGAAAAAAACTTTGAATCTGTAGCAGGCAAGGACTCTGTACTAATGCTCGATGAAATGGCTATAAGAAAACAAATGGAATGGGATAAGAAGAATTCCAAATTTGTTGGCAATGTTGACTATGGCAACTTTAAGGCAGAAACCCCAGACACTGTGGCAACAAATGCTCTTGTTTTAATGGCTTCAGGGCTACAAAAGCCATGGTATGTCCCTATTGGGTACTTTTTAACGAACAACCTAAATGCAAATATATTGAAACAGCTCATAAGTGAAGCAATTAATCTCCTTACTGAGAGAGGAGCTAAAGTTCATGCAGTCATCTTTGATGGTGCTTTTAAAAATGTTAACATGGCTGAGAAACTTGGATGTGATATAAAACACCTTGGTACATCATTTCCACATCCATCAAACCCCAATGAAAAGATCTTTGTGATTCTTAATATCTGCCACATGCTGAAGCTTGCAAGAAATGCCTTTTCCACCATCAAGATCTCTTGTACCCCAGGTGGACAAAGAATATCTTGGGAGTATGTTCTTGCACTCTATAGAACACAAAAAATGACATACTTAATCTTGCAAATAAACTCAAGACAAAGCATATTCAGATAATAAGATTGACTCTAACATCTCAAATATGCTACTTACAAACAATGTTTGGAGATCTGATGTCCTCCACTACATTTCAGGCTATATTGTTAAAAAAATTATGGAATCATTAGATTGTCCAGACTGTGCAGTTTCCCTTTATCAAAGTTCTGACAGTTCAGGTGACCATGGATACCAGAGCCACCTCGCTTCTCTTTCTTGCAAACGGTATGGAAATTTGTTGGTTCCATCAGTGTACAAGATAGTTGACTGTACAGACAAACTTGCTAGAACAGAATTATGCAGGTGGCAATGTATTTCAAAGGAAATCAATACCTTCATATCTCTACAAGAGCACTCACAACACTGTCATGTCCTTGATGAACACCTTAGAGATAACCATATCACAATTTTGATTAAACAGATCATTAAGAATTACCTTGTGTTGTTTTACCACCAATTTGGAAGGGTCTATACAGAACGTATAATAAAAGGAAATCAGTCTTCAAGAAGGCATAAACTTACAAAGCAAATTTTGTTTTACAATGAATAATATAATATGATTTCAAGAATATTACACAATAAGAAATAATTTCAAAAAATATTATAAAACTTGTACCATGAGGTAACGCCGAGTGCCAGGCGGCGGTTAAGTAACCTGGTGGGCTTTTTATTATAGATGGAGGAAATGCCATCTTTATCTTCAATCTGTAAAAAAATGTAAATATTTAGTTCTAAGATACCATATTCAAGGATAAAATAATTCTAGCGACTGGATTTTAGATTGATATTTGCTTAAGGTTTGGGGGAGGGATTCTTAGTCACTTGGAGTCTCGTTCTACTGCACATCATTTCAGCTGAAAACAACAACGCTGTTTACATATATTCATTTGAATTAGAACATGTTGATTCAAAACTTGGAAATTGCCCAAACCTAGTGGCTGGGATTTGATTTGAAGGCAACGAGAACATTGTGTCATTAAGTAGCGGGAATCACTAACTGCAAGACAAGAGAATGCATATGGCCACCGTCCACCAATGGCTAAGAAGACCTCCTTCATCAAGATGATATGAATCAATAGTAAGCAGCAAATTGAGAGCTCGCGTGTCACTTGAAGGCAATTGCAAAGTTTTGAGATATCTAACAATCATAGTTAGGTCTTCATCCTGGCACTGTAGAAAATTGAGTGACTCTGCAGGTGGGCAAGGTGGAACAAGAACAGCAACAGGCACAGGAAGCATGCAACCCTTTTCAACAGAAGACAAAGGAGCATCATAAAGACATTGAAGCATCCTGGCCTAGTTGGACCATTCAGCAGTCCAATGGAAAACAGTTTTTTATGTATTAAACAATTGAGTGGAGAAGCAATAACCACAAAACACAATGAGGAGAGCAGTCATGTTGTTTGCCGCTCCATAATGTTACTGTGCTTGTTACGGACTATGATATAAATAAAGCTTATATGGAGCATTGTTAGCACGTTTAGCAAGTTATCTTCTTTCTTACTTGCGATACACCTCCAAATCAATCCAGAGAGCGGCAAGCTAGGCCTCCAGTGTGACCATTTTGAATCCCGATGCCTTTGAAATGCGCCATCCAAACTTCAAACATGGATGAAGAAACCATTAAAAAAATAATTAACAACACTGTTTCAAGCCTTGTTAGCAACGATCACATGGATGCCCTCATGGAGAAATTGGAAAGCAATATAGAAGCAATGATAGATAAGAAAATTGCTCAAGCAACGGAGCCTTTGAGAAGAAAATTTCGATTCTTGAGGGGAAAATTGAGGTTTTCCAGGCAAAGCTATCGGAGTTGTAAGTAAGGCTTGATGACGCAGATCAATACAGCCGAAGGTCATGTCTACGTGTCTTTGGGGTTCCCTTGCTAGCCAATGGCAAGGAATCCAACAATGACTGCTAGGATTTAGCGAAAAGGATTAATATTCAACGAATTTACTTCGGCAAGTCTGCACTGGGTTTGGGGTGGGAGGTAGGTAAATAGAATTTCGGGGGGGCTCCTGCCCCAAGCCCCCTGGTGGTGCCATCCCTGGCTGTGATGATAGTGAAACGTGGTGCTGAATCTAGGAAAGTAGGTAGATGCTGAATCTTTCTTTGGCCACTTTACGCAAAGTGCATCTTTCTATGTCTGGCTGTATTTCTTCTCAGTCTCTGTCAGCGTTCTACTTATAAAGTGAACTGGTTGCCATCCCTTCTCGGTCTTCTGGAATAGTCCTGTTGACAGTCCTTTGTTGTAACTGGCTTCTGTTCTGACCATAATTGGTAGCTTTGGGTTGAAGAACGAAATCACATCCTGTCTGGATATGCTGTCTTTAAGTTTCTGAAAAGCTTCTTCTTCGTCTTCATTCCAGTGAAATTGTGTTTCTTTCAATGTCAAGTCTCTCAGTGGCTTTGTCAATGATGCATTTCGAGGGATAAACTTGGATAAGTATCCGGTCATGCCGATGAAACTTCTTACCTCTGTCTTCGATTCCGGTCTTGTGCATTCCTTCAAAGCTTTAACCTTCTCTTCTGTAGACCTTGTGAACAGAATTTATATCCATAGAATTCAAGCTCACTTTTTCCAAACCGGCATTTTTCATGGTTTAGAGATATTGGTCCTGCGGTAGCTGAGTGGTTAAGGCCCTCGCCATGCCAGCACCCCAGGTTTGATCCCGGTTCGTGGACGGCCCTCAGTTCACTCAGCTGAAAATGAGTACCTAGTTGAAACATGCTAGGGAGGTAAAAGCGGCGCGGAGAGGAACTGGGCACCCTACCACACAATGCCGTGGCCCAGGACGATGCACTCCTAACAGTGCATTCCCCAACATTTGATATCGAATAGGGGACCAAAGAAAAAAAAGAAAGAAAAAAAAGATATTCCAAAATTCCACCTTTCTGAAGAAATTGTTGTGAGTGAAACTGGATTGTGTCTTTTCCAGTCTTTTGGCTCCAATAGTCTTCTCATCATGCCTTGGATTTAAGCACGCGTGAGAATAGTCGCCAAAAATATCTTTCATGCATAGCATATCAACTCGAAAAAGGTCCTGTGACGCTTTATCGCTCCAAATCATCTTTTGTGGATGACATGTAAAACTTACTCAGACGTGGAAAAGTGGATTTATTACTCTTGAAGGTTGTATGAGATCAATGGACTTAAGTCAAAGTACAACGACAATGGTGCTACTCCTTGCCTACGTCTAGCGTTGACTATATAGTGCGACATCAATGGAAAAAATGTAGACAAAGTTTCACATTGTTGTGTTATTCGCACCATCCATGTAAGTGTATAGGATCAAGCACAATCATTCACCTAAGCTCACGTATTCATTTGTGTTGCAGGTGTTTATATTTCAGTGTTTTATAAAGCTTGGGTTCAGGCTGTACAACAAACTATGTGTGAACACCGTGTGATGGTTCATTCTCTGGGGCTTTCTCAACAAGGTCTTTCTTGTACACCCCTGGTTTAGCCATGTTTTGAAGGTTCTTGCAAGTAGTAGGGTACTTTGTCTTGGCTTTCTGTGCTATCGGTCAGCTTTCTGGTCTCATGTTGAACTTTCCATACAATCTCTTATTATGTTTGGTTTTGTCATGGATCTTTCCAACCTTCAAAACCGTGATTGTATTGTTCAACCTTGTTCAACATCTCCTGCATTTCTGTGTTTTATTTTACTAACCTTGACATGTCTTTTTTCTTGCTGTATTCTCATGTTGTTTAGGGTTGTGCAAGTCTTTCCATCTGCTTGAAATCTTCCTTTTGCTTTGGTTAGTAAGTGCCTTGACTGTGTTCTTTGTTTCTGGCGGTCATTCTGTTTTTTGATACTTGATTTTATTGGCCTCTTGTTCTGCATAAGTGGTTGGGTTTTGCAACCTACTTTGGCTACTCTGGTGCCTTCATCATAATATGTCTTCATTTTTGGGAAACTTGTCGGTTGACATCTTCAGTTGCTATAAAATTTTAATGGTCTTTTTGAATCACTGTTTGCAACAAAGTGTTGTTCATTTAATATTCAGCTTTTTCATAAACATTTCCATTCGCTGTGGTCTGGTAAACCTTCTCCAACTTGCAAATGGCTTTTTCCCTAGCCTGCGCGCACTCAGACAGTTCTATCCCTAAGAGTAGGTCTGCAAATTAAAGTCAAAAGGCTTGTTCCCGCCTCCTTGCAATCCAACTTCAAGCAGCCCTTTTGTTATTTTATTGTTTAAGGACCAATCAAATCTATCTCCCAATTTTTTGGGAGATGATTCCATTGGATAACGCGACTACCCTATTGTCTTATCGAACCGCTCTAATCCGCGCGGCATTTTTAAAAAGTCACGTTTTTGCTCGATTTCAAAATGGCGACCGTGAAAAGTGTTACTGTGAGAGATATTGCTGTTTGGAACAAAGAAAAATTCGAGGAAGGGTTAGGGTTTGCGAAGACAATGTTTGGGATAAGTTCGATGCATGAAGAGCAGCTGGAGGCTTTACGACATTTTTTCCTAGGAAAACATTTGTATTTCAGCGCACCAACTGGTTATGGGAAGTCCCTGATTTATCAAGTCATACCATTTGTCAATGATTATCTGATGAACCAGCTCACTTTACCAAGTTGCATTCTTGTTGTAACTCCGCTGCAGTCTTTAATGCTCGACCAAGTATCAAAGCTTAGAGCATTGGGTATTAATACGGCTGCCATTTATGCTGATCAGTCAGAGGAAGTGCTGCTAGAAATTGAAAATGGAGGGGTATATAATATAATATTCACGTCACCCGAATCAATGTTGGCAACATGTCGATGGC